GACCTCAAGGTTGAGGACCTCAAGGATGAGGTCACAGCAGTGATGGCCACCCAGGTGGTGGATGACATCATGGCAGACAATGGGCACGGGGTGGATGGTGACCTCAAGGCAGCTTCTTGGGGACCCCCAGCTCCCCACTGCCACATCCTATTGGTGTCAGCTGAGGACTCTGCTGAAAATGGATTCAGTATTAAAAAATCAGGGGATAACGAGGAGGAACCCCCCAGCTGGATCCCACTCCTCTGCAGTCAACACTCATTGTAAAGAACCCCCTGAGAAAAGGTAGCATCCCACTGCCCTACTTCCAAGCCCCACCAAAACCCAATGGGAACACTGAGATACCCTCAAACCATAAAATTAGATCCCTGAATATGGGGGAAAATGGCATTTCCAGCTGAGGTCTGGTGGAAGAGCTTGGAGATGCCAGTGATTAAACCCAAATGACGCAGAAAGAGAGGAGTGGCACATGTGCATTACAGCTGCAGGGGCTGAATGGGCTCCCACCCTGCACGTCCCAACCTGGAAAGCGTAATAAAAGGGTTTTATTGCTCTGTTTTCAGGGCTGCAAGCAGGCTGTCCTCTGACTGCAGAGCTCAGCCTCTCCCTTTCAATGGAAAAATCTTCCTTTTTGGATTAATTGGAATTCCAACAGCCCCAGACTGGATGGCATAGAGCAAGAGATGAAGAGGGAAAAGAGGACAGATTGAGGGGGGAGGAATTTTTTCCATTTAATTTCCTTTTTAAACAGTTGTTCAGATGGGAGCGTGGAACCTAATGACATTATTTTCCTTTCCTTCAGGTTACCACATAGTAGAGGCTTCGAGCTGTGGAGCTGTGGAGCTGTGTTTTGGAGCCCCAAACTTCCTTCTTTTCACATGCTCTCTTTTTCTTCCATTTTCTTTTCTATTAGTTTTGTTATTTATGTACTTACATCCATCTCCATTCTTTAAACTGTTTCCTTCAGCTCTGAAAGCTGCGGGATACTTCAGCACGAAAACCCTCTAACATCTCACTCCATTTTGAAGGAAGAGCAAATTCTGAGGGACCCTCCTTTGGGGCTGCCCCATTCACCCCATCTGGAGAAGCCAAAGACTGTTGGATCCCAGAAAAGGGGGAAAAAAAAGATATTTCAGCTGAACTTTGGGACACCACCTACCACCTTTCCCCACTCATCACTGGTTATGGCATCGTTGGTCGTTGCTCAGGGAGTGCTGGGACACTGCTCTGAGCCATAGGGCTGGGGCTCGGGGATGCTGTGTGGGGCTGGGGTTGGGCTCAGCTATCATGGCTGTGACTTGATGATCCTGAAGGTCTTTTCCAAGCTGAGCAATTCTATAATTCCATGATGCACCCCTTCCAGCTCGGGGCTGGAGTTCAACAACACGGCTAATGGGACCAGAAATGACTCGGGGTGAGGGGAGACAGACAGCTGTGATCCTTAGAAAAATTCAGCCTCAAAGAGGAAAACCAGAGGGCAAATGAAGCCAGGGCTCACTCCTCGAGAAATGGACGGATGCACCGAGTGGCTGACAGTAATGATAATGGCTGACTCTGCCAACTGGAAGGGACACGGAGGGAAGGAAGAGCCCGGATGCTGGGATGGTGTGCAGAAAGACGAGGAGCTCGTGCCTCCACCCCCGCCGTGGGGCAGATGGGTTGGCTTGGCAGGAGACCAGCAGCACTCTCAACTTTCTCTTCCTGCTCCCAGCGCCAAGAGGCACTTAGAAAAAGTGGGTTTTCTGGTTTCTCTTTGTTGCTCTGAAATAACTCCACAACCTCCGTGCTCCCCGTCTGCGCGCGTTGTTCTTGCTTAACTTTCGTTCCTGGGTTTTGAGTGACTCACACGAGTCAGTGCTGGCATTGGCTGCAGAGGAGTCAGGGCACGAAAGGCTTGGGTGTGATGCAGGAGAGCCCACAAGTGAAAGCTGGGCACGTGCTCCATCCTCGTGGCTTTTGCCTTGGGGTGAGAGTCTCAAACCTGGGCTGGAAATCAAGCAGGATGTTAGAGCATAGATTCTGCACTGGGTAATTGATGCACTTCTTGCAGCTCTTCCTCTGGGTGTACGCTTTCGAGTTTAGCTGCTTCAGCAACTGCAAGGGCTGGGAAGTTTTGTAAAGGAAAGAAAACCGAAAGCTGAGCGTTTTTCCATGGCATCCCATTGCTTCAAATGTCACTGTGATATTGCCTGAAGACCAGGCACCGTGAAAAGGAGCAGAATTAATCTCAGGGCTGAAGAAATTGGAACGAGGATGAGAGCGAAGGGATTTGAGCTGCCGGGGTTAACGCCAGGCAGATTTCAATACGATCTGATTGCGGCCTGCAATAAATTCATCCATGGGATGGATGCATCCTGAGCACGGATACACAGCGAACGCCGGGCTGGGTAGAGAGCAGAGGATGAACTGCAGTGGAGAAACAAAAGGCACTTTTCTCACAAGGGTTGCGGTTAGGCACTGGGAACCCCCTCCCTCGGTTTCTGCGGAGGAAAAGGGGAAGTTTCTGAGAAGAAGAGGTTTCACTCCACCACGAGCTGTTGGCGGCCCCACGAGCAGCTGGGCAAAGGGGAAAGAACGTGGTTTAGGAGAAACGAACCTGAGAACTTCTGGTCTTCAACAGCCTTGGAGAAGCTGCCTGCCAGGGCTGGGGGGATGGATGTGATACAACCCAAAGTCGTGCGCTCCTCCATGGACTCAACAGCTTCACTGCTGGAGGTATCCATTGCACAGCACACGGCCTGGATCTCACCCTCCTGGATCTGAGTGCATCTGGAGCTCAAAACATGTCTACGAAACGTATCTACAGAACATATCTACAACATTCAGCCTCTACCCCAGTACCCTCCCCTTCTCGCACTGGAGGAGATGGCAGAAGAGCGCTCACAGTAGAAACACATTTATTCACTCTAAGAAACGCCTGCATGTTACAAAAATAAAAATGTACAGCTATTATCACGAAACCCACTTCTTTGTGTGTGTGCATAAGTTAGTGCTTTGACAAACGAACACAAAACCTGCATGTACAGTTCCAGTTGGGCCCTCTCCATCAGCTCTCCACCTGAGCCGCATCGAGGAGAACCTCTGGGACCCGAATAGCAGTGGTGGGTGGTGAGGGGGGGGAGTGCCAATGGGGCAAAGGAGAGAGCTGGCAGCATGGTTTATTGAGTTACTCAGAGCACGTGGCTCGGTGCTCACACTGCTTCGGGGCAATGGTGGGTGAGCAGCTGAGATCTGGCCCGGAGAAAGGTTCATAGCAGCCCAGCACTTCACTTGGATTCACTCACATTCACTTGGATGTGGCTCTGAGCAGCCTGGTCTGGTGGTCGGTGACCCTGCACACAGCAGGGGGTTGAAACAAGACGATCCTTGAGGTCCTTTTCAACCCATTCTGTGATTCTGTGATTATTATTTGTCTCCCCTCAGTGACTGTAACCTTTCCCATGAAGCTCCAGGGGGGGAAAAAGGTGCAATGCCCATCTTAACCCAACCCCCCTAACAATCCTCTCCTGGATGAGATGACTCACCCTACAAATGCTGTTTTTCTTTGCTGATGGTGCTCAGCGTGGAGACAGTCCTCTCCTTTGTCTTCTGTGGCTGTGATATTGTGGGTCAGGACGAGAGCCCTCCATGGGACCACAATTCCACCCAGCTGAGACCACAGGAATGTCCGAGTTATTTCTTTATCTCCGTGTCCTTACCCCCACCAAGCCACTTCATAGGCAGGAGGGATGGGAGAAACTAAGAGGTCTGAGGAATCAGTCTAAATTGGGACCAAAAGTGTTTGTCTAACCCTAAAATAGAGCCCGGGCCGTTTTTATGAAATAGGACTCAACCAGTTCTGCAGAAGGAGCAATTTTCATTTTTTGGGGTGAGGAATCAGCATCCTCGTGGCAGGGCTGGGCCAGGAAACTGAGTGGCTGGGCTCTGCAGTTCTTAACCCAGCAATGGGAGAGAAGGGCCACGCAGACCTTCTGGTGGAGGGTTTGGTGGCTCTTTCCTCCAGCTGACTTTGAACTGGAGGGGATGCAAGCCCACATCCACACAGGGCTGGGGTTAAGCTCAGCACCGTGTTTGTAGGCATGGCTCCCAAAAGCAGAGTCAGCACTGCCATATTTCCCTGTATTTCCCTGTCACTATGGGATATGTCAAGTGTCTCCAAGTGGCACAATCATAGAATCATAGAACCCTTAGAGTTGGGAAGGACCTCTAAAGGCCATCCAGTCCAACTTCCCTGCAATGAACAGAGACATGGACAGATAGATCAGGTTGCCCAGGGCCTGATCCAGCCTCGCCTTGAAAGTCTCCAGGGATGGAGCATCCACCACATCTCTGAGCAACGATGGGGAATAGTGATAGGATGCATCAATACTGAACCGATGGAATGGGCAATGCTCTTCACCACTTTGCTGGCACCATGAGATGCCTGTAAGATGATGAAAAACAAGGCACAAAGAGCTCACCCTCACTTTCACAGAGCTGGAGGCAACTGTTAAAGGCAGCAGCACAGAGAGAGCTACTGGTTCCTACAAGCTTTTCAGACATGAATGTTGCTGTTGGGAAACACCAGTGGTTCTCTGCGATGTTGACCTCACTGGAGAAATCGGGGACCAGCTTGATAGCATCAGTACATCCCAGTGGGATGGGGAGTGCCCCCACCAGCACCCCTTTTGATGGGAATCCTTCAGAAAGGGGCTGGAGCTGGGAGAGCATTAGCTCTGAATGGAGGTGGTGACGAGGTGGGGGTCAATCTCTTCTCCCAGGTAACAGCGATAGGATGAGAGGCGACGGCCTCAAGCTGCACCAGGGAGGTGGCAGGTCTCCATCCCTGGAGGTGCTCAGCAAAGGGGCACACGGGGCACTGAGGGCCGTGGTGGGGTGGGCTGGGGTTGGAACTGGGGATCTTGGAGGGCTCTTCCAAACCTTCATGATTCCAAGATTATTTCCCCAGGGATGCGAAGCAGCGGGCGCCCCGTCCCCGCCGCAGGCAGTGTTTGCACTCGACCTTTTATCAACCTGTTTATCACAACCACAGCTGACACTCCCCGTGAATCAAAACTCTTTTTTCCCATGCCAAGGCATGGAAAGACTTCTGATAAACGCACGCTCCTTATGTGCCAGGGAACCTGGAGGAAAGCAGACCGATTTCTCTACGGGGCTTTTTTTGCACGCAGCGTTTTCTTCTTTAGAAAACAGTCTGAGGCATCCAGGGTGTGAATTTTAGCAGATTTTGCAACCACGCTGGAAGGTCAGCCAGGCTGACCGCTGGGGAGGGGCCACATGTTGATGGACAGGCAGGGAAAGAGGCAGAGGGACGGTGCCTGTCCCTGTCACCGTGGTGTCACCTCCCTGAAAATGCATGCCACAGACAGCAATACTCATGGGAGCCAAGCACTGCAAACACCATAGGCCTCTGGCCCTGAAGCATCCTCACCTCCCATCACACGTGGGATGAACCCTTCCACTGCCACAGAGTGGGGAAGAGCTAGGATTTCACTTCCTTGGACGTCGTGTCCGTGTCATTGCTGGTTCCCAGGGGACCGTTGGGCACAGACCCCATTGCCATCTCATTTTGAGGCTTCCACGGTATTTTGTTGCCTGTGAGCTTCATAAATCTTTGTCCTGCTAAGAAATACAGTACGGGATCCAAGCAGCTGTTGGTGCTGGCCAGGGGCCGGGTCACCTTATAGGCTAAATTTATAGCATTGAGGGTCTGACAGCTCAAATCCCAGCTCCGGAAGGAGTAGTACAAGGAACGGGTGACGTGGAAAGGAAGAAAGCAAACGCTGAAGACCACGAGGACAATGATTATCATCTTGACCGACTTCTTTTTGGATCGGGAGAGCCGGGACATGCCCCGTGTGGGCTGCAACAGCCTGCGGGCCATGAGGCAGTAGCAGACGATGATGATGAGGAAGGGGATGCAGAAGAGAAGCACCATCATCACCGAGCTGTAAATGACAAACTGGCCAAAGAGGTCTTTGCTGGATGTGTCGTGGCAGGTGATGGTGCCACGTCTGGTGCTGGTGGTGACAAAGAAGAGAACGGGCAACTGGCAAACCACGGTCACCACCCAGATGATGACAGACACCCTACGGGCGTAGCGGACGTGTCCCCACTGCAGGGACTTCAGCGGGTAGCAGATGCCCAGGAAGCGATGGATGCTGATGCAGAGGAGGAAGAGGATGCTGCAGTAGAGGTTGGTGTAAAACAAAAAGCGGACTATCTTGCACAAACCCACTCCGAAGGGCCAGTTGTCCCCCATGGCGTAGTAATACACCAGGAGGGGCAGGGAGACCACGTAGAGCGTGTCGGACACGGCCAGGTTGAACATGTACGTGGTGGAGGCATTCCAGGTCTTGATCCTAAAGATGAAGCCATAAAGGGCCAGCAGGTTGAGGAAGAGCCCCACCACACACACGATGCCGTAGGAGACGGGCAGCAGGACGTACTTGAAGTCCTCATCAAACACACACCTGTAGGTGTTGTTGTCAGCATTGCCTGCAACAAAGGAGCTGTTGATGACTCTGGTCCAGGCTGGAGGAGTTGATAGGTTCGCCATCACCCTACGGGGAAGGAAAGAGGCTGTAAGAAGGTGAGAAACCCCTGGTAGAGTTGACTTAGATAAGGAAAATCCAGTGCTGCAGCTGCTGTATTTACACTCCTGATGATGTTGCCATCAACCACCCAACGTCCACCCAACAGCTATGGACAGACGTAGCCCACAGGTGTGGCTCACAGCCTGACCAGCACTGCCAGCTCAGTGCAGGTGACAGTGATTGAGAGGTGGCACGCACTCATGCCAGCACAGTGCATCCCCATGGGACCTCACAGCTGGGTGCTGATGTGAGCAGCAGCCCTGAGTGTGGAGGACTTAGGGTTGAGCACATAAAAGGAGTCTTATTTATCCTCATTTTGTATCTGGGGCACAGAGGGGTAACCAAGGTTGCCCAAGGAGGCTGTGGATGCCCCATCCCTGCAGGCATTCAAAGCCAGGCTGGATGTGGCTCTGGGCAGCCTGGGCTGCTGCTTGGCGACCTGCACACAGCAGGGCTTGGAGCTGGATGAGCATTGAGCTCCTTTGCAACCCAAGCCATTCTGTCATTCTATGATTATCAATGGAAGGGGTAGGAATCAGATGATCTTTAAGGTTCTCCCCAGTCCAAGCCATTTTATGGGTCTGTGACTTGTCTTGAACAAATCCCAGCTGCCCCAAGCTGCCATTCTCACCAGGGCCAAGCAGAAATTGTCTCCTGTGCTACAGAACAGCAAAGATCCTCCTTTCTGTGCTCAACCACCCACAGTGGCTACACACGGGAACGAGCAGCTGATAGGAAATAAATGGACTAGAAAGAGTGTCTGCAGACACACAGGGTCTGGCACTGTCTGTGCCAGGAGGAACAAGGGGCCCTTTGTGCCCACGACCCGACCGACACACGATCGCCCAGCCAGCTCGTCAGCCAGGAATCAAATTAAAATGGATTTGCCTCATTTCCCATCAAACAAACCGGGCTGAGCTCCGGTGAAGCAATGGGCTGAGCCCTGTGCTGCTGCACCATTAGAGGGAGAAGGGGTTATGGGGGATGCAACCACAGCAGGAGCTCAGAGAGCAGAATTTGGGTGAAAAGAGCTGGGATGACGGCGTCCTTTATCTGAGCATGAGGGATCAGAGAACCACAGAATTGTAGAATCACTGCAGTTGGAAGCACCCCTAAAGGCCATTGGGTCCCACTGCCAGCAGTGCACGGGGACACCCACAGCTCCATCAGTGCTCGCAGCCTGACCTCGAGGGCCTGCAGGGCACCACCACCTCACAGCCCTTATTGTGAAGACCCCATCTTCCAGCTCCCAGCCCTATTCCCACCTCCCTGCAGGGTCCCACAGCCCCAACTAGAAATCTCAACAACGCATTGGTGAGCGTCTGTGAGCTGAGGAGGGGGCTGTGCCCTGTGTGAAGGCGGATGTGCCAATCTGCACATCTCCTGCCTCGGGAAAACGAGCAAACAGAGCCCTGGGGTTGGCAACCAGAGACAGAACCCTGCTCACAAGGCAGCCTTGTCCCTGCAGTCACGCTCTCACTTTGCTTCCTTCTTTTTTTTCTCTCTTCTCATTTTTTTTTTTCTCCTCAATTTTGCCCAGAATTCCTTGAACAGAACCCACTGTGTCCGTCAGGGTTGTGGCTGCTCTCCAGCCTTGTGCCAAAGCCCCTTTGCATCCGCAGTGAGTGGGTGGCAGGGGACACACATCCAACCCAGGGGGGGGACAATGGGAGGGAGAAAGCAATGGAAATAACTGAAGGAACCGAGAAGGAAAAACCCTTCAGTGACAACCAAAAGCAAACCCACACCAACGCTCTGGGGAGGAGGAGCAGCTGCTGCACCAGCTCTCCTGGCCCTTCCTGAGATCGTGGCAGGAGGATTTCTTTCTTGCAGTTGACCTTGCACAGCTTTCCAGGTGTCCTCATGCACAGCACCCTCAGGGCATCACCCTGCCTGGCTTCCTCCATGCAGGGGTCTTAGAACCACAGAATATTCCAAGTTGGAAGGGACCATAAGGATGATGGAGTCCAACCCCTGGCACCACACGAGACCTCCCAAAAATCAGGCCTTATGTGTGAGAGCATTGCCCAGTCTCAATGAAACTGGAGACACAGCTGGCTCTCTTTGTAGGCATGGCTTCATCCATGGATGGAGCTGAGGTTTGGGCATCCAGAGCTGGTCTGGATCCACCCATGCATGGGAACCCAGTGGCACGTTGTCACTGTGATCCCATCTGCATGGGCATACAGACACCCGAGGGCACAGCCATGTGATGCCCACATCCCAAAATGCTCCTGTAACAGGATCCACCTCAGCAGGGAACAGTGAGTCCCATCGACTGGAGGGGGCTGTCACCAAAAGAGGGCACATGCCAAGGTCAGGGGCACCCAAGGGACACACAGGAGTGCTGGGTTGGACATGAATCACTGAATGGCTCGGGTTGGGAGGGATCCCCAAGTCCAAGCCCCATGCTGTGGGCAGGGTTGCTGACCACCACACCAGGCATTGGAGCAGAGAGCCCAGGGCCCCCTGCAACCCACTCCTCAACTCACCAAATCCCAATTCCAGGCCCCTTTCTCAGCCTTCCCATTGCTCTCCCATCAAATTTCATACCCAAGTCACCAAAGCAAGTCAGCTGTGGCCGTGGTGGGGTTGAATGGGCCGTCCCTGGTAATTAATGGGGATCCACTCCTTGGCAGAGCCCCTTGCATCTGCTGGTGCCTCCTCTGGCACAAGCACCATTTGTGCCGGAGGACAAAACCACCCTCCATTTACTGCATATTTCCTGATGGCTCCTTTGCAAAGGCCACAAGGACAGCGTGGGTGTTTTCCCTGCCCTAATTGCACGCGTTCCATCGACTCATCAAAATCCCTGCGCCGGATCAGGAGCTGCTCAAGATGTTGGGAAGAGAACAACCCAGCATCATCTGAGGGCAGTCAAAATCCTCCGTAACCCAAAGGAAACAGCAGATGGTACTGAGCCTGCATGGCCAGGAGAGGGGAGCAGCTGAAACAAGAGCCTCACAAACCGGCGTGCTTTTCATCTGTCCTTTCCAAGCAGCTCCGTTTCCCTCCAGGATGGCTCCATAGAGGCTAAGCTTCCTCCTTCTCCTCCTCCTCCTGTGCACAGGGTGCTGCCAGGCTCAGCGTTTCATAGAATGACAGCATGGCCTGGGTTGCAAAGGAGCACAGCGCTCATCCAGCTCCAAGCCCTGCTGTGTGCAGGTCGCCAAGCAGCAGCCCAGGCTGCCCAGAGCCACATCCAGCCTGGCCTTGAATGCCTGCAGGGATGGGGCATCCACAGCCTCCTTGGGCAACCTGTGCCAGTGCCTCACCACCCTCTGCCTCCAAAACTTCCTCCTCACATCCAACCTAAACCTCCCCTGTCTCACTTTAAAACCATTCCCCCTTCCATTTTGCCTGTCCCATCCCTTCCCAACCTCCTGCAAAAAGCTTGCAGGGAATCCCCCCAATAAATCCCCTGAATCCACACAGATCTGAATCTATCCCTCTTGAGCCTCTGCTTCTTGCGGTCCCAACACCTCCCACCCTCATCCACAGCGCATTACAGCCCCAATTAACCACAGCCAAATGAGCAACAAGTCATTAAACCCAACAGAACACGCGCTTACGCATAATTCAAGCTGCCTTCGTTGGGCTGGCCCTGCTCCCAGCAATTTGGGTGGAGGCAAACAGCACCTGGCCCATATTTAATCCTTTGGTCGCCACTCCAAGCGCTTCCCTTGGAAGGGATCACCCATGGAGTCCAGCTCAATGATCCCAACGGGTCCCTTCTATCTCAGGGTGTTGTATGATTCTACTGACGTGACTTCAGGTTGGGAGATGACACAGCTGTTGGGCTCAACCCAAAGCATGGGCTGAACCCCAGCACGGGGAGCACACCGACCTACGCGGCAGCAAAAGGGGTCTGCAGCTCATCCCTCCCAAACGGGGGATGCTCAGGGTGAAGAAGGGTTGAATGCTGGCTTCTCTCCTCACTCCGCACCCCGCCGGCTGAGGGCCACAGGGCACAGCTCCATTCACAGGGGCGTAAATGAGGAACTGAGGAAGGCGCCCGGCTGCAGTGCCATCGCTCCGTCTCTCAGGGCAGCAGCCCCGCCGCTGCTCGCATGGGAAGGCAGCGGCTCGCCAAACGCGTTTTGCAAGAAGAGGCGATAAGAAAACCGAAGGAGAAACAGCGCTGAGATGCTTCGCCCCCAAAGCCCCCTCTCTTCCCCTCTCCCACCTCCACCGCCCCGCTCCCAACGCCGCGGCACGGAGGTGCTTTCGGAAGTGCCGAAAAGAATTAACAGGCTTCCAAAAAGAAAGGTGAGAAGGGAGCAAAGAGAAGGAAAAGACCCCCAAAGAGACGGCGGAGGGGGCGGCGGGACGCAGCGTGGAGGAGGAAAAGCCGCGGTGAATGGGAAGAAGGCACCCCGAGAGCTGCGGACGGGGAAATGCCGTAGAGAGCCCCGTCACCCCCCCGGAGAGCGGAGGGACGGAGGGTAAAAGAGTTTCCAGCGGCTTAACGCGGTGAGCAATGGGGCAGAAAGCAGCAGCGGAACCCCGAGCCGTCCGCACCGCGCCCGCGTAGCCCTCCCGCTGCGGTCTTTGGATCCGTTTCGGGGGGTTTGGAGGCATTTTTTAGTTCCTTTGCTTAATAGGAACGTCCCCCTCCCCCGGATCGGTGCCGGCTGTCCCCGCTCACCGGGCCGAGCCGATCCGTTCCGCTCCCCCCGCAGCTCTCCGCTCATACCCCGCGTTGCGCTCCCACCGCCTGCGGCTGCAGCGCGGCTCCCGGCGGCAGCGTGGGGACGGACGGGGCGGATCTGGGGCTGCACCGCCCTCCCCTCGGGGTTTAGGGTGGGATCGGGAACGGGGCCCGGTTCCCCGCCCCGGGAATAGGGATGGCGAGGTCGGGACCGGCGACGGGAGCAGCTCCAGACCGCCCCCGTGAGGGGTTGGAAGGGGATTTGGGGTCGGAGGTGGACCTTCCCCCTTCCCCCCCTCCTCCCCCGACCGCCGCTTTCCCCTCCAACGATGAGACCGTGGATAGGGTCAAGGCTGAGATTCCTTCCCCCAGTGACGGAACCATGAATAGCACGGGAGTTGGAATCCCTCGGCGATGGAACCGGAGCTGTGGCCGGGATTGGAACTCCCCCCCCTCTCCCACCATCCTCCCGAACAACGGGACCATAGATAGGACCAGGGCTGAGGTTAGGGATGAACCCTCCCAGTGATGGGACCATGGATGAGACTGGGGATGGGACAGGAGTTGGACTCCTCCTCAGTGAGGGAATTGGAGCTGAAAGTAGGGATAGACCTCCCCCAGTGATGGGACCAAAGTTATAACTCTCTCCCCCTCACGTATGGAACCACAGGTGGGGCTGGGACCAGGCTCCCCAGGGATGGGAGCAAGGCTGAACTCACAAGCATTGCTCTGATGGGATTACAGCAGGGATGAGAGGTGGATCCCCTTCCAATGACGGCACCATAGGTGAACTGAAGCTGGGACTAGAGCAGAAAATCCACTTGGTGGTGAGATGTTGGTGATGAGACCATGGATGGGGCTGGGGCTGGGACTGGAGTTGGAGCTGGACCTCCCCCTGCAGGGTGATACGACCACGAATGGGACCAGGGCCGGATCCCTGCAATGGTAGAACTGGGATTGAAATTGCCTCCCAGTTGCTACTCCAGTGATGGCACCACGGCCAAGACCAGAGCTGGACCCCCACTCTAATGATGGAATCATAGATGGGATCAGGGCTGGGATCAGAGCAGGATCCCATCCCTTCTTGCTGTGGCCATTGGTGGTCCCACTCAGACCACTTTCCGTGGTGATGGGACCATGGATAGAATTGGGAATGGGACTGGAACTGGACTCCTCCAGGATGATAGGAACATTGGTGGAACCAAGGCTAGGAGTGTGGGTGGAAGGGACTGATGCTGAAGTCTGAGCTGGACACCAACCAGGATGATGGGACTATGAACAGGACCAGGGCTGGGACCAGAAGAACAGTGATGGGACAACGGATGGAAGTGGGGCAAGGATGGAGCAGGACTTTGCACCTCTGTAATGAACGAGAACAAGGCTGGGACTGCAGCTGGAAATCTCTCTACTCCCGTGCTGGGACCACGGGTAGGACTGGGGTCAGATCCTTTCTGACGATGAGATCAGGGACGAGATCAGGTCTGGGGCCATGTCACTGTCCCACCCAGTGATGGGACCATGGATGGCCCTGGGGACCCACCTTACACCCTGGGGATGCTCCAGAACTGGAGTCAGCCCAGGGCACGGAGCAACCCCAATGGGTGAAGGAATTCCAAGATCAGACCTGGAGGGGAAAAAAGGGCCTGAAACCATCCGAAGGAGCACAGCCAGGGCCTGGCAGCTGCCTCAGCCCCCCATGTATGGGACCCTGTCCCATGATAGATGTCCCCAAGCTGTGCCCCAATGGGTGCTGGTGCAGCATGGCCCTGCCATGAGCCAGCTGTGTCTCTATGGGAAGTGAAGGGATGGGGAACGTGATGTGACTTTGAGGCCATCTGGGCTCTAATTTTAGCAATGCTGGTGTTCTCAGGAGCAGTTCCCAAACACAGGTCCTGTCCTGCAGAGGGCTGCAGACCCATTGAAACCCCTCTGGGAAGCAGAGAGTCCACAGGAACTTGCAGGCAAATCAGGCTGTGCTGTACAAGAGAATTCCTTCAAGGTTCCTAAATTGGAAATGTTGATTTTGGGTGCAGTGGATGCAAATTTGGGGATCGCATCATCTGTGTCCTCCAGCCACATTCTGGAGATGTTCTGGGCTCTGTCGTGGCATGAAACAACCCCCAAGAAAACCTGCAGAAAGCTTTGGAGGATCAGCACTGGGTTTGTGCCCTGCAGAGCACCGGATGCCTGAGTGAAACCAGCCAGGTCCAGCTCTGCCTTCCCATGGACATTACTCACCTGGGGCAAAAACACAGACAAATTTGGCATGCTGGGTGGCTTCTGTGTAGGGTAGAGCCATGCAAAAGGACATGCTGAGATGTCTGCAGGTGGTCCCATGGTATTTCACTGCTGTGAGCACAAAGTGAGCCCCAGCGCTCCCCTCTGCATTCTCCATCTGCACCCACGGCTGGAAGGCAGATCCTCCTCCTGCTCCTGAGTCCACTCCTGCGTGGGCTCCCCACATCTGCAAGCAACCTTCCTGGAGGAGGCCGGGATGACCGTAAAGCAGGCAGAAGGGGGAAACAAGCTGATGGCCATCTATTATTTAGAGGCTTTTCAGCAGTGGTGGCTGCTGCGGAGGCATTATGAGGATACGAGCATTTGGAGCCGAGCAACCGCTGCCGGCCCTCTGTGCCAAAAAAACAGCCTGTTTCCTTCTTCTGATGTCATTTGTTTGAGGAGGGAAAACAATGCATCACGGCACAGCTATTTGAGCCTGATAAGGGAGGAAGGCCAGGCCTGGTGTTTGGGGGGGGGGAAAGCTGGGACGGAGCCCCTGAGTGAGGTTTTGGAGGGTGGATTTATTCTGCTGGGACAGCAGTGAGCTCGGGAAGGGCAGTGATGTGCTGTGTTAAGCCTGGCTCTCTGGGATTTAATTAATCCAGCCTGGCTTGGCTCTGAGATAGCTTCACAGCTCTAATAGCACCCATGGGCAGAGCGAGCTGTTGGTGCCCAACAGAGCATGGTGGTGTGGATGTGGATGTGGATGTGGATGTGGATGTGGATGTGGATGTGG